GCATGGCTCTTTTTCAGCAGATGTTGCGATGTGTGTGTGTGTGTGTGTGGGTGGGTGAGCGTGCAACATGTAAATAGATACTACTAAAGCAAAATTACTGTATGTCCTTGCTCTAACCCTTTGCTCAGTTGTGTTGATACCTAGTGAACCCAGTGATGCAGCAGAACCATCCAACTCTTACGGGTGGATTCAGTCGATGTCCAGACGTTTTCTTTGCCAATTTGAGCCACTTTGAATGATATGTTGTGAAGTTATGTCGACATTCTCACCCTATGCTGCATGCGCGGGCTCAAGGATTTGAAGATCTGGGAAGATGCCAGGAAGTTGCCGGGCAGCACTTGGTTTTTGACAGGGCAACCTGATATAACGAACATGGGAGCACCCGGCAGAGAGCAACTGCTACACAAAGATGTGCTGAAGATGCGACATTTGTGCACGAGGACTGCCCAAGAATGAAGATGCTGAAGCGGGGCGCAGCATTACTGAATCCAGTCCACTGATCGAAAAGCCCAAGGAAGTGCTGCTTGGCTTCAAACCTCCCCTCTTCGTAGAGATAATATAGAGACGTTTGTGTATGTGGGAGAGGAAGGATGTGTGGGGGTATGTGACATGTGAAGCCGTGTCCTTTGATGCTTTGCTGGTGAGCACGCCGAGGTCTTTGTCAAATCCACTGCAATGGCTCCGTTCATTATCTCAAAGCTACACCTGGAAGCTTTTGGCCATGGTTGCCTGCACCAACCATCTCCTAAAGGTGGGACTTGGTCGCCAGAAAAGGGCCAGAAAAGGGCTTTCAATCAAGCATTGTGACCATGTGCAGGGAGAAAGAAAAGCCGACTGTCGGGTGTGTTTCCTCTGATTTCATTCAGGGCTTTGTTGCCGGAGGTGGTGATGAAGGAGCCTTGGTGCGCAAAAGATCTTTTTTTTGGTTGGGAAGAGCCGCTTGCTCTGCCATTCAATGCCATGAATGGATATTGGATGATATTGGATGCCAGATTGAACGTAGACAAGTATTTGAGGGGTTGTCGGCCAATGAGCTTCAGAGTGTGTTTTTGTACTTTGCTTGTACTTTGGCATTTGTTGGCAAAACGGTGCCAAAAAGAGTGATGTGTTTCTTTACATCCCATCCGGCCAACCGAGGACTGATCGGGAAGCCTGCGGAGTTCCTTTTTGCGGAGCTGGGTGTTTCCGCCGGTCGGCTCCAAGCGTTGAAGGCCTCGGATCCGGTCGGCCCCCTCGAATGAGCTGGCGACTCTTTATTGTGCTATTATATAGCGCAAAACGAACACGGACCCTGAGAATGGGACCCGGTAAGGGTGGTTTTCCTCTACCAACCCAGTGGTTTTCAGGGTCCGTGTTGGTTTTTCCACGGGGTGTGCTTCCCGGCCAGGCCGTTGCCATCATCCCCTTCGCCTTAAAGCCTTTGGTGGCATTGATGAGCGATGCCTTCCCCATTGGGGGCTATCACAAGCTTCCGTATGTGGTAGGATCCTTAGGGGTCCTGGTGGAGCGGATGTGATGTCATTGAGATGGCGAACACATGCGAACACACTTTTGATCCACCATGGACTGTAGCTCTATGTAGCTCTCCTCTTTTTGCCAGGTTATATTCACCATGTTGTCCTTCATCTCCATCATGACCGTGGGCTTGGGCTTGGCGACGACCGAAGCTGCAGTAGTCGCCGCCCTTTTCCTGGCATTTCTACAGGTTCGTGCCTTGCAGACTTTCGCATCAAAGGGCATATACTGTATACAGTATATCATATCCTCAGTATGGTATGGTCTTGGCAACTGCCAACAGTCATTGACTTGGCTGGCGACTCTAGATTGAGAGGTGGCCAGCATTGATGTGCTAATGGCCGCGAAGTCCTCTGAAGAGGTGAAGAAGCATGCTTCCTGGCTGTTTTTGGGGCGACTTTCAAGGGTGCCCCTGAATATCGGATGCTTCACCTGGATGTCGAGTTTCAGGCTCACCTTGGGCCAGACTTCATGACCTACACCTGGCTGGGAATCAATGTGGGACAAGTCCTAAGCGTTTGCATTTTGGGCCCCGTGGTCGCAGCTTTGGGACCTCGAGCGCCCTATTGCTTCGCGGCACCCCTGGAGCCTTGGCAGTGTGCGCGAGTTCGTCAATGGAACGTCCCAAAAGAAAGGATAAAGGATGACACATGATGACTTCACGTGAGCGCTTGGGGCATGTCGTAGGTTTTCATGCTCGGTCCTGAGGTTTCGGTTGAACATACTTCTAACATGCACTTGTGATGGGCTTTATGTACATATAAACATACAATTACATAACTGCATGGCATGTTTTGGTATTGTTTTGGTATTCCACCGTATGGCATGTTCACCTAGCCCCTAGTTGTTTGGAAGGGAGGTGGATCGAGAGACCCAGTCGATGTTCACCTCTCAGGTGCTGGTCGTGCTTTGGCCCGCCTTGGGGAACTTCATGGGCGAGCACCCGGCTCCGGGCCGAGCGGGCTGGCCCTTGGTCTTTCAGTACCTGGGCACCGGCACTTCAGTCAGTGGCAGAATGGGATCAAGGTTTGCCACTGCTTTTTGAGAGTTTCATTTATTTCCCTGGGTGGTGTTGCGTTGCTTGGCTAAGGCAACACAAAGTCCTTTGCAGGCTGACCTTGTTGATTGGTGCTTTAGCTTTGTTCCTCGTTGTAGCCTGGCTGAAGTTTATTGCCGCAAGGCTTGCATGGAGAAACGTGTTTGTTCACCTGTCGGCCCAGCCGTGACGTGAGGTCTCTACCTTCATCATGGATGAACGCCAGCTTTTGCAGATAGCAGCTGCAATGGCTTCAATTGTTCTGGTGTCCTTTGCAGTTTTCATTCGGTGGCTTAGCTGGCTTCATGTATACAGTTAATCTTCAGAACCAGGGTGAACTATCTGAAGGGCTCAGTTGCTAATTCTCCCTGTCACTGATCGCTCTTCCTCAAACCTTTCGCTTGCCCCGGAAGGCGGGAAATCGCTGGACCAGTGATTTTTTTTCTTCCTTCTGGGTTTGCTGAATCTCAACATCGATGGTGCTCTTTTCTACTTCTGCCTCTGTGGCTGCACGTTACTTTTTGTCCTTTAGGCTGGTGAGAGGTGAGGGTTCGGCCGATGCAGATGAACCATCAGCTGATGAGGCACGGATGATGCCAGCGAATTCCCAGCTGGGCCACACTTCAGTCCCAAATTTTACATCACAGGCTGGGGTGTGAGGCACTTTTGGCTACGGAACTCCCATTTCTTCCTCACCTTTCACCATGTCATCAGGCCTAGGAGGTGCAACATTTCTGGGCATCACTGTGGGCTACGCCTCTGGACCTGGGCTGTTCAGATCCTGGAGCTACAGGCCGGGGCTCTTTTCCATGTGGATGCCGCGTCCAGCTTGGCTGCTGGGCTGCTTGTGTTTGGTGCTTTGCCTTCTGCTGCCAGGAACATTTGTTACATCACCCTGGTGATGCGGGCAGTGTCCTCGGGGGGGGCCTCGCGCATGTTTTGCGCATCGGCCATGGATTGTTGCACATCCTGAGAGCTGCTAGCTGCTAGTGGTGAAAAATATGAGGCCACAACCCAACTTGCAATGGTGCCTTTGCTCCGCCGGATGCAGTTGGGCATTCCTGACAGCTACTGGCTCTTGATGGTCATGAGTTTAGATAGTGTGGAGCTGAGCCAATTGAGTCAAGGACTTGTATGTTTGAAGGACTTCATGGATCAAGCCCATGACACCAGCCTTGAATCTCATCAGCACAGAAGTCTGAATGGCAACTTTGAGGCATGGTTCAAGCTTGGAGATGGATTCCCAAGCAGGCTCTAAGACTGTGGTTTTGATTTAAGTGCAGGGTAAGGTACAGTTTGTGCGAATTCACTCCCGCTGTCGAATTATATGTGGACTATACATGACTATACTATACAGTATCTCTTGCGTTGCTTGCTTGACAGGTCCTCGCAGCACATTTGACACCCAAAGGGGTGGAAGCAACCTGCCTGGGCTTGCATGCCGGTACTTTCAACATGGCAAATGTTTTGAGCTTGGGGCTAAGTGAAAGATCCTGGCGTCACTGTGATGCAAAAAAGCACCAGCACCAGCAAGTGATTATTGGATCAAACGAGGGCACGGGCAAGTGTTGGCAAGGTTCATATTGCGGCAGCTTTCTTCTGAGCTACCTTGGCGTGTCACCCAGAGGCATGACATTTCCATCAAACTTTGCACGTTTACTGTTGAAGCGAGTGCACTGGATCAGGAGGCCTTCGTGACGCTGGAAAGTTCGACAACCTTTGGAAAGTTCAGTGCCTTGACTTGACACATGGAGATGGATGGAGAAGGAACACCTACGGATAGTGACTGGAGAGGGTGGATAGCAAGTTTTCTAGCCTATCCTGACCCTGCGTCCTGATTTGACGTTTGAATTGTGTGGTCCAATCTCAATGAAATTGGGATCAGGTGTGCCAGGCTGTTTTAGTACTTGTGACTGAGGTGTATGGCGGCGCTTTTGCCCCTGTTTCTGCTGTTTCTGGTTCCGGTGCTGGTTCCAAAGAAGATGCAGACTGAGTCGCTCTTGGAGGACTGTCCTGGAAGATCTGCAGCTCCGACGGTTTAGCGCCGCAGCTCCTCCGGGAATCCCTGCACAAGTTTGATCGGATTCACTAGCATGGTGTTCGTGCCATTCATGCTTTTGAATGGCTTGAAGTGTGGCCTTTTGCTTCTGGAATCTCTCCGCTTTTCGACTGGACTCGACGTTTTGTGCTTCCTCCACTGTACGCAGGAGCGGGAGGATTCAGCGACCCACAACTCGTTCTTTGAGCAACTTCGTCGAAGGGACTGATGTGACTGATGCGAGTGCTGAGAGTGATAGTCACAGCGCGTGACACTTCGTTTCACTGACCATGGAAGATGGTCCGTTCCGCGGCGGGACAAAGAGAGGATGGATGTGCGTTCCGCGGCTTGGTCCGTTCCGCGGCTTCTTAAAATTCAGTCATGCAAAGTCATGTGAAGTCATGGCGCCAGGCTAGCAGAGACCCGAGTTCAGGCCGAAGCGAAAGCAGATCCGGGAGGATGGGAGATGTGGTCGAAGTGTCGCCCCCATCTCTCCCGACAGGTCCAGCAGAAGAACCAGGAGCTGGTTTTGGGCTGAGGATACTGTATCAGAGGTGTTGGGACGAGAGCGGAGAGCACAAACCGACCCTTTGATGTTAGCATGCGGCAGGAGAGCCCGGCACCAAGCGAATGGATTCAGCACCTTGATTCAAGGCAACAGCGCAGGAGCAGTTGAAGAAGAAGTTTGTTGAGCTCGCTCAAGAGAAGGAGGCGCACAGCATTACCTTTGATCTTCAATGTTTGCTTGGAATATTTTCAATCGTCGCACTGGAGCTTGAGGCTGGCTCACTGCCGAAGCTTGTCAACCTTGCTTCAAGAAGCTTTCGTTTCTCTTTTGGCTCAAGCCCTGGAGGATTAGGAGTTCTTGCCTTCAGCTCGTGTGTGCAGCCTCTCAATGAGCCAGGCCAATGCATTTCCTTGAAGCTGATTGCCAACCCTAATCTAACATTAATCCAAGCAAGTTCATCGGCAGGTCATGTGTGACCACATTGATGGTACAGTGCTCAGGTACCTCTCAGGCTGGAGAGGTTGAAAAATATCCTTTTCCAGGCCGACCGATGCAGGCCGACCTGTGCTATCGAACTCAGAGACTCAGGTGCTCGCGACCAATGTGCACGCGAGACCATTTTGGAGGGCGAGAATGGGATCAAGGCGAGAATGGGTAAATGATGGTAGCAGCAACTTAACTAAGCCGAGAAGGCAAACCCTTGAGAATCATACATGCACTGAGTGGAGTTGCAGGAGTTGACCGACCCACACCGCCGTGCCCAATCAGAGCCTCCACGTGTACCCTGCCGGAATGGCTCCGAACTCAAGGCTGGCTGGCAGTTTTGGGGACCGAAGTCCCGACAGCACTTGCCAGTTGCGTGTTTCTCAAAGGCTTCTGGTTGGAGACTTGTTCGGACTTATAGGCTGAAAGGCTGGAACGCCTCTTCTTGCAAGGCTGCCAATGACCTCCTGCAGAACTTGAAAGCTGAGATTGCATCAGCTGAAGTGGAGGAAGCTGACCTAGAGAAGCAGTTGCACTTGCAGCAACTTGGAGGCAATGCATGCTGTTCGCCCCACACAGAATCAATCACCGGTGCTGCTTCTTCGCCCCACCAGGATGGAACAAAAGCTGCAGATCATCAAGCTTGATGCAAAGACACATGAACTTTTGGATGAACTGGCCATTGTTGAAGCGATCCTTTGCCGCAGTGAGTGCAGTTCATGTCAGTTTATGCATGTTTAATTATTCTACCCAGATGCATTTTGTGCGTTTTATTTTTTTGACTTGTGCATCGGTTTTGTGTTCCGAGGCCGAGGATCCCCAAGGATGAAGCCATCTCTCCTTCAATGGTCCAACGAATGGAAGAAGATTTAATCGACCTGCATGACAAGGTCGCGGCGGCTCACTTCTCAGAGGGCTTTTGCCATTTCTTGCCAACTAACACGTGTTGCAAACAGCCAGATCGCTTGTAGTGCTGGTGTTTTTGTTTGTTTTCTTCACTGTTTTCCCAAGGTCGACATCAGTGTGAACACCGCGCAGAAGGAATGTCAGCTGCTTTTGATGGGAGCTTCCTCCAAACAGGCCCGTGTGCCTAAAATGCAAAAAAACTGCAGAAAGAGCCAAACAGCAGACATCCCTTTGCATGAACCTGCCACAGGAAGAGCTTTACGAGGAGAGTATTCCCTGTTTTTGCTTTACTGTAGTGGTGTTGTCCTATTGGATTTCGCTGGAGCTCTTGCCAGGAGCTTGCTGCTAAGAATTCCGAGCACGACCTACTGGAGGAGGAGTGTGACAGGCTGAGGGAGGAAGTCGAGAAATTGCTGCAGGAGCGACAGGTTGCAAAAAAGATCGTGCCAACCAGAGGTGAGCAGTATGCGGGGGAGTCTGCTTCGCCGATGCTACTGCTGGAAGCTCACCGCCGCCGCTCCAACGCACTTCTTTCACTTTCTGAATCGCGCAGTGCGAAGATGGAGGCTGTCCGCAAGCAGCAGGAAGCCAAAGACCTTGAGAATGCTGCCCGTGCTGAAGCAAAGGAGAAGGAGGTCCTGCTGCAGCAGAGACGCGAGTCCCTTTTGGCACGTGAGACAGCCTTGACAAAAGAGTGGGAGGGGTTGAATGACCAGTTTGAGCAGGCACAGAAGTCTCAAGAAGCTATTGAACGCCGCCGTCTTTTGTGGGGTGAGCTGTTGCAGAAAGGTCGCGCGCGCCATGACATGATTCAGTCCAAAGTGGAGTGCGCAGAGACCAAAGCTTCCTTGGCCTGTGGCGAGGTTCAAAGCGCCTCTGAAAGGATAAAAGCTCTAAAGGAGAAGCTCAACATTTTTGAATCAGACCTGGCAACTGCTTTGGAAATGCGTGGGGCAGCCGTGAATCGGCAGTCTATTGCTTTCATGGTGGTATGTGTAGTGACTTTGGCTCTTTCCATAGACCTGCTCACAAGTCAGTTCTAATCGCGACTTGCTTGGCAGAGTGTGGGCCCCTGCTCTTCCTTAATCAGACTGCATTGAAGCGTGATTCGTCCAAGTTTCTGGCGATTCACTTCGAGCTTCAGGATGGTTGTGCTACAGTATGTTGTACTATGTTACGTAGTCTATCCAGTCAATTCAACTTCAATAGTTGAGCACATCCGTGTTGTAGATTGCTTTGTAGATTTGAGCGGCAGCTCAGAGCTGGGAAGGCAAGGTCCGAACCTTGGCATGAACAACCAATTGCAAGCTCCAAGCACCGCCGTCAATCCTTCAAGCAAATAATTCAGTTGCATGTGTTCCGGCCACCCCACCAACCCTTGGTGAGATCTGAGTGAGCTCGCATGGGCTAGCGAGCACTACCAGTCAAGGTGGCATGTGAACAGAAATATAAGTTTTGTTGCTCTCAGACTCTGCTCAGCGCACGGAAATTGCATACACACCTGTTGGCTTTTCTGACTTACGCGATCGCAGCAGCCATACCTTTGAAGGGTGAGTTGATCAGTCAGTGTGATGCCTACAGTTTCTGACTTGTTGGGAGGCATCTCAAGAGCTGCGCTGGCAGATTCGCCAGTTGAGAGCATCTTGGCAACGCAAGATGGCGACTGTCCAGCCCAAGACAGGGCTATCCACGATATTGGACCTGTATGTGAGTGCACGCGCCACACGCGCCACGAGACTAGTGCATGGCATGAAGAGCAGGTGGTCTTTGAGGGTCGCACTTCAGGAGGAGACCGAGGAGCAGCTGAACCAGAAATCGATTGAGCTGACCCAAGAGCAAGAGGCCGAAGAAAACGGGCACCCCAAAAACGACCCCTGCAAGAGCCCGGAAGCTGTGCAAGGCCAGACACTTTGAAACATCGGCCACTCTGAAAATGAGTTTGGATGCTTTTTGAAGGAGACTCACCTTTTTTGGGAAGCTTGCACGCTACTCTCTTGGCTCAAGATCATTTGGGTCGCAGAGTCCAGGGTCCATTTCCTCTTTGCATCAGATGGTTCTGGCAGCTACCAAGAACGAGCACGAGGCATGGACATGTGTGAGTGTGGCATACTTCGCAGTGACAAATACGTGCGGTGCGGCATATTTGACACCTGCAGACTGGTTCAACAGAGACAACACCCTTTGACTGCAGCTGCTGCTTGGCTTGGTGCTGTAATAGCTGACCATGGTGTACCTGCGATGTGTTTTGCGCTATGGCCTTGCCAACTTTCAGGCCAGGACACCTGGGTTGTGCACAACACCTTCTTGGAGATTTCTGAACGGGAGGCGTGCACTGCGGGCAGCTAACATGGGCAAGCCAATGATTGAGGGTTCTTTCTCTTGCGGCATTGTGGGCACAAGATGGTGGAAGTAATCAATGGAATACTTCGACCAAGATCCAACTATGATAAACTGCCCACTGTACAAATCCAAGTGGTGGAAGTACCCTATAGATCCTTGCTTTCCTAAATGATGATCCTGGGCTGTGCCCCAAACAGACTGTTTTGCACGTTTTTGCCAGGAGCCGGGTACTTCGAAGCGCTCGCATTCCGATCCCAGCGCCCGCGGTGTCCGCTCGAAGGGATTCCATGGAAAAGACCCAATAGAGGTGGTGAAGGAAATGGAAGCACCTTGATCAAACTGCAGAGGGGCTTTCTAGTGCGGATGCTGTGTGGCACTTTCACTTGATGGCGTTTCATCAAATTGAAGGGCACATCACTGGCCTATCCTCCGCTGTTGTGCGTTTGCGCCAATAAGCCAAGGTTGCTCGGCAGGAGGTATTGGATCAAAGGACGAGGATTATTGAGAATGATGTGAAGACTGGAGCGCTCCTGGATGAACTGGCCTTTGTTGTAAAGATGCTGGTTGGCACGCAGAAGGGCCTTTTGTAGACGCATTGTTGAGCTGTGCCCTGGCTTGCTTCATTAGAGCACGCAGCCCTTGTATTCCAAGGACACCGAATGATGCAGCTGTCTCTCCTTCAATGGTCCAACAGATGGAAGAAGATTTAATCGACCTGCATGACAAGGTCGCGGCGGCTCACTTCTCAGAGGGCTTTTGCCATTTCTTGCCAACTAACACGTGTTGCAAACAGCCAGATCGCTTGTAGTGCTGGTGTTTTTGTTTGTTTTCTTCACTGTTTTCTCAAGGTCGACATCAGTGTGAACACCGCGCAGAAGGAATGTCAGCTGCTTTTGATGGGAGCTTCCTCCAAACAGGCCCGTGTGCCTAAAATGCAAAAAAGCAGAAAGAGCCAAACAGCAGACATCCCTTTGCATGAACCTGCCACAGGAAGAGCTTTACGAGGAGAGTATGCTCTATTTTTGCTTTATGTAGTGGTGTTGTCCTTTTGGATTTCGCTGAAGCTTTTGCCAGGAGCTTGCTGCTAAGAATTCCGAGCATGACCAACTGGAGGAGGAATGTGACAGGCTGAGGGAGGAAGTCGAGAAATCGCAGCAGGAGCGACAGGTTGCAAAAAAGATCGTGCCAACCAGAGGTAAGCAGTATGCGGGGGAGTCTGCTTCACCGATGCTACTGCTGGAAGCTCAACGCCGCCGCTCTAAAACACTTCTTTCACTTTCTGAATCGCGCAGTGCGAAGATGGAGGCTGCTCGAAAGCAGCAGGAAGCCAAAGACCTTGAGAATGCTGCCCGCGCTGAAGCAAAGGAGAAGGAGGTCCTGCTGCAGCAGAGACGCGAGTCCCTTTTGGCACGTGAGACAGCCTTGATGAAAGAGTTGGAGGCGCTGAATGACCAGTTTGAGCAGGCACAGAAGTCTAAAGAAGCTACTGAACGCCACCGTGTTTTGTGGGGTGAGCTGTTGCAGAAAGGTCGCGCGCGGTATGACATGATTCAGTCCAAAGTGGAGTGCGCAGAGACCAAGGCTTCCTTGGCCTGTGGCGAGGTTCAAATCGCCACTCAAAAGATAGAAGATCTAAAGGAGAAGCTCAACGCTTTTGAATCAGACCTGGCAACTGCTTTGGAGAACCAGTCCTTTGCTGTGAAGCTTCATTCCTTTGCTTATGTTCTTCTCCTGCTTGCGTTCTTGTTTGCCTACTGCATGGTGTGAGTAATAGGCAGACTCTATGTCGGTCGCATGGTGGCCCCCAGGGCACTTGTGACATATCCAGCTAAAGCTGACAGGTGACTGATTTCCTTTTGACAAGTCGCGCTGCATGACTTGCGTTTTGAGCTACCCATTTGCTTTGATTCGTTTGCTGTAGAGCTGTGCCATGTAGAGACGTGCTTGGTCAGGGGCAATGTTTTACATTTTTTTTACAATCTTTGACATGACCTGATGTGAGTTCGCTGTTCATGATGTGGGTTTACAAAGTTTACGTGTGTGCCCCACTTGCACACGCTGCTTGAATGTCTCGTGGCCAGCGCAGACCTCAATTTAGCTTCAGTGCCGTTCGTGCATTCTGGCAGCACGGTGCACTTGACTAGTATTTTTAGTGAGTTTTAGCGCGTGGATCCTTCGATCGACGCATTTGCTTAGTTGGAAGCTGGCCGATAGAAGTCCGCCAGGGCTCGCCGCCATGGTCCCGCTGCGGTTTGACAAGAGCCGGATCTGAATGCCTGGTTGGACGGCTGCCTCACAGATGTTCGGCAGCCATAGCAATAGGGCCTTCAGCGAAATGCGACATTGACTTGATGCAGCCAAAAGTCTGGCGGTTATCCGGGCTCAAGCTCCCCTCCAGAAACCGCCCTTTGCACATTTTGGCAAAGACCTCCACTGCACCTGGAAACCCAAAGACAAAGGTGGTTTCACAATACCCAACGCCAGTGGAGTCAGAGCTGTCGAGGTCGCCGTGAAGATGAGGGAGGAAGTTCAACAGCTGGTGGCCCGGGGCCGAAGCGGATTCGACGCTCGCGTCTGACGAACCGTCGTGTCGCGTCTGACGAACCGGTCGTGTCGGTTCAGACCCCGCGGTGTCGGCTGAGCCGAGGAAGGTTTCTGCCGCGTGTCGGTCTGAAGCCGTGTCGGGTTGGACTTTCGGTGTTTTTTTCCGCAAAGAAGCCATATCATTGAGCATCACTTACTTGTGACACTGTGACAACTCCCAGACTCCAGAAAACGCCAGAAAGTTGTATCTCAGGTGGCTTCCCGACTTCCATTTCATGCTACACATGAGATAGCCAGACATCATGACGTCGTGGACCAGTTGGCTCTCCTCTCTTGTTTCAGGGTTCCATCTCAGGATGCCGCGACCAATGCCAACGAGATCCGTGCCGCTTGGACTCGAACTTGCGGACGCTTCGTCTCGTCCCTTATGGACCCTTGTGGGGAATGGCCAACAAAGCATTAGTCGTGAGTCATGGACACTGGGCCGGTCTCTTATCTTGCATGTTTCGGTCCTGAGTATGTCACAAGGCTTTGAGTGCTGAAGACATCCACGTAACGTAGCTTGAGGCGGCGTTGGAATCTGAGTTGGCTGGCGCCAAAGCAGAGCTCGCCTCCAACCATGTCCTGTGAGACATGTCTTGACGTCGGCGTTGAAGTGTGGTTTCAGCTTTACGCACTGGCGACTATCTCGAGGTGTCGACTGCTTTTGTTCATTCTTGGTGGGAGCAGTAGTCGTGAATGCTCTTTAGTCGTGGCGCTGCATGCAGCGGACATCGTTGCGCCAGGCGCAACGCACGAGATTGGAGGCACGGAATCTGGAACTGGAAGAACAAGCTGGGGTTCCCAGGTCGAGGACGGCCAAGGCCAAGGGAAGGTGTTTCATGGAGAAAGAATCAACATGAGCGAAAGAGGAGAGAGGGGTATGGGCATAGGTATTTGCTTGCGCTCGAGCTGGCTCAAGGACAATGAGCAGGTATTGGAAAGACCTTCATGACGCCCAACATCAACTCATGAACGGGTGCTTTTCATGATGAGACCAAGACTTAAGACTTAGACTTTTGTAGCTGCTTCTTTTCTCTGGCCCGCATGCTTTCCGCAAAGACTCCTGCTTGTACCGGAATCTGTAAAGCCAATGTATGCACCTGGACTTGGCGGATTTCATGCATTTAGGGACAGAAGCGATAGTTCACTGAACTGGAACTTGCAGCTTTAGGAAGTTGGACATCTAAGCCATCTCCCCGTGGAACAGATGCAATGGCTCTGCGGACCCTTGCTACTTGTCCTGGCTGTAGGTGCTGCAGGCCCTGCCCAACGTTAGACGCAGAAACTCATTTCACTGGAAGGCCAGCATCCACCAGTGGTTCTTGCCAGGACAAGAAGCCGAGGAATCACGTCAGGGCCTTATCCCCTTTGATGGTGGAAATTCCGTCTCTTCACATCTACTGGAAATGACGTTTCCATACGTTTCCCATGTACAATGTGCTCAGGCCCCTTCTTTGTCGTGGCCAAGCAGATCGTGCAAGAAGAATGTCCTGGGATAGCTTTGCCAGCGCTGAAACTTGGCCTTTAGCCTTTGGACGCGCCTTCTGTGTACATGTTTGCAAATGATGTCGCCGTTCTCCAGGAACTTCTGGATGCAACTCCAGGCGCACTTCTTCGAAGCGCAGTTTCTGGGCTGTATTGTGGAACCTCCACATATGAGCGAATGGTGACCGTAGTGCGGCTTCCAAGTGGTTGTGCAACGTTAGCATTGAGCTCGTTCATCTTTGGCAAGGTATGAGTACTTCAGCTCTAGAGTGGATAGCAAGATCGATGCGTTGGTGGCTGGCATCGAAGGCTTGAACATGCTGATGAGAAACCTGGACAGTGCATACTTGTGTCCGCTCTTGGCGGCCAAAAACTTCAAGTTGGTCGCTGAATGGGCCACAGCGGCATCGCACCCTTGGAGAGCCCGCTGCCTGCTGCAATTGGGCAACATCTTCAAACTTCAGGCTCGTTGGGCATCTGCTTCAGCTCGTCGGCTTCACGCGCACCCTTGTTTCGCTTTCAGTTTCGCTTCCTTTGTCGGCTTCTGAGCCAGACTGACGGACACACTGACTTCTCGAAGCCTCTGGGGCTCGTGGCTTCATGCGCACCTTGCTATCGCCTTGCTTCCTTGCTTGGCTTCTGGACTGGCGGACACACTGACTTACGCACCGCCTGGCTGGCTGGTTCATTCACTGCTTGATTGATGTGGGAAAAACCAAACAAGCATGACCTGCCAGCCAACCGGGCCAGGTACAGTGGTCCGTGGTGGGTGTGGTGGCTGTAGTGTGAAGGGTGATTTTAAGGGGGGGACATTTTTTGGTGAGGTGGCTTTGTGGCTTTTGGCTTGTGTGGCTTTTGTGGCTTTTGGCTTCTGTGTGGGTTTTGATGACTTTACTACGTTTCTAGTCAAGATCTTTACTTTTGAGGCCTTTCCCCTAAACATCTCTACTTTTAAATAACTTCTCCTGAAACATGTTTGATGAATTGTCTACTGAATTCTCTGCTCTTGATGACTTTACTTAGTCAAAATCTCTCGTTTTGACCCATTACAAATTACAATCGCTATTTTCCGGTAAAATCGCTATTTGTTTATGACTTTTATATTGAAATCTCTCTTTTGATGAGTTTTCTATTGCATTCTTTGCTTTTGATGACTCTTCTAGACAAAATTACTACTTGTATATAATGCCTTTCTCATTGAGAACTACACAGACCACCAAAAAGAATACAATTTCCCAATTAGAATATACAAATTCAAATCCCCAATTAAAGTCCCGACCCCTGTAGTGTTGACGATCATTGTCTTCTGTCCCTGAGGGTTCTTCCCATGCATGAACCTGACAGGCGATGGCACGATGGTACAACCAGCTGCCTCAATCAGAGCCTCGGGAAACTGCATCAAAGCGTTTTGAGCCCAGACTGCAGGCTAGGTCACATGGGCTGCCAAAAACAAATGAACAAAATTATAGAGGAACCTTCCAAACATGCGCCAGCCAATCGTAGGTTGAGTACACGATTGCTGTAACGCAGCTCCATGCATCTTTGCAGACGCCTTTGCGACCACTAGCTGCTTGGCGTCGCTGCGAGGTATGCTGCGTAGGCTAGGGTGTCCAACTCAAGTCTGCCGCTTTTTGCAAGGTTCGCTGGCAAGGGGCGCAACCTCGCATACAGGTGCAATCCATTTGCAACTACCGAAGCCCAGCAGCGTTACGGAATATGTACGCATATGTAGACATATACTATATATATAGTATATATAGTACCCCCCCCAAAGACTACCATTTTGGCTTGTTTCACGGTTGTGGATGTTCATCCATCAATTTATTGAAAGGGTAGTACCATATATATGTATATATACATGTCTTATTGTATGCTAACTGTTGAGATGCTCACTGCACATCATTGGTTGCAGGAAGTACGCGTACTGTACGCGTACAATGGTCAATGTCCTATTGTATGCTAACTGTTGAGATGCTCACTGCACATCATTGGTTGCAGGGAAGTACGCGTGCGTACTGTAGGCGTACAATATCGTACAATGGTCAAACCAAGAAACCAAGAACCAAGATTGCACAGACCTATGAACATGCATCTTGGTTTGGGGTGTGTCCTTTGAGACCCAGGAGGTCATCCACATTGACTGTCAAACCAAGATTCCTGAGAAGAGCTGTGTGCAATCTTGGTTCTTGGTTTCTTGGTTTGACCATTGTACGCGTACAGTACGCGTACTTCACTTCTCAAACAATAGTATCTGCTTGTCTTACCTAGTCTGCAGTTCAACAAATCAAATCTAGAAAGTCACTCACCCTGCATCCTAACATGGCGTCTTCCTCGGGCAGCTTCCCAGTGCATGGCACCGTCTCTGTGCAAAACGGCACAAATATATCAAAATATGACATGACTATAGTCCCATCAGGTTATTTTGATAAAAACATTGTAGGACTATAGTCCCGTCAGGTTATTTTGATAAACACATTCATACAACAAAACTGATAGAGATTGACAGGAGTAAAGCCTTTACACGGGCATTTACACAGACTAAATTCATACCATTTTTTAAATTATGAGTTTGATAGTTGGACACATTACAGAGATGACATTGACATTAGCAAATTATGGAAAGTGTTTAAGAAAGCTATTGGAAGCAAACAATGAAACATATTTTGTTATACAGCTCCTTCATTCATTCATAAGGTCAATTGTGGCCAGATTGTTAAGGAACTATGGGAAACCGATCTTACTAAAGATGACAAAAAATAGGAAACATCACCTCTGGAATGCTAGAAAAATCACACACCACCGCACACAAGAGTTATGGTTTCACACTTTGAGGGAGGCTTGCCATTACCAGAGGGAGTTTGGAGGAAGGATTTGTGCCACACAACAAGAAGTAGAAAAAGAAGAAACACACATGCAATACCTATTACACCTGAAACACCACCAAAGGCTTAGAGGTATAAAAGAGTTGCTTCTTCAGTATCATAACTTTTTCAATGTATGAAGTGTAATAAATTTTCAGAAAATGATATTAAGGTCTATTCAGTGGAGAGTGATGCCTTCACGATCCATGAAGACGGTTTGACTATATAGAGTGATGGGCAAACCAAATCATTTTATACAACCATATCAGACTGGAATATTGAACTTTGAAGAAGGCATAGGCAAGCTGACAAGCAAATCAATGCATTTTCCAACCAATAAGTACATATTTAGATATAATGACTTACTTGAACTTCCAAATGTAGAAAAGAAACGAATAGAGGTGGTGGACGAATGGGACACCCCCGCAATATGTAAGCAGATTGAAAAGCAAAAATCATGCATGATCAGAGCAAAATTTGCTGGATCGGGCAAGAGTTACATAGGTCAGTAGTTAAAAACAGGTGCATAAACAAATTGTTGTTTGTAGTCCCTCATAACCTGTTAAGTCAAGACATAGAAAGTGACGCAACAACCTATAACATATTTTGTAAGAATTCCAGTTCATAAGGGGGATGAACTACCAGAGTTTGATCATAACAACTTTGATTGTAATCTTCTGAAATCTATATGACCAATCTTTAAATTTTCAAACTCACTGAAAATTACAAGGACAACAAAATCATCATAGGCGCCGGTGATACAAACAAGTTAGAACCAATCAATGATTTAACTAACATCCAGTCAAAGACCACAATATGGTTAGATCTTTGGGGTGCGGGTAGCATATATAACCACCCTGGAGTACATAGAATATGGAATTGAAGGTTCCGGCCGTTTTTGTCCACGAACTTTTTGAAAATCCAAACGGGTACATAGAATAAGAAAACGTGGATTTCGAGCTTTCAAGTCAACTAAATTATTGAAACATAGAATATGGTTCCCCTCGATTATCCTTTTTTTCTTTTTTTTGTCCATGTCTGTTCCTTTTATGTTCCTTTTGTTTTCCTTTTCTTGTGATTTTCCGTTCCTTTTCTTGTTAAATTGTTTTCATTGTCTTATCTTTTCTTGTCCAATTCTTGTCCTTTTCAGCAGGAACTTAGTAAAGGAACTTAAACAAATAAAAAACACATAGAGTCCAAAACCGACCGCAGCTGTCCACGAAAAAGTAGAAACCACAACATATTCTAAGTACCATGTTTGGACCCATATATTCCAAGTACTTTTTTTCTTTTTTTTGCAGCTGCGAGATTGAAAAACCACATATTCTATGTACTCCAGGATGGTTATATATATATACACACTTATTGTAACATTTTATCATATCACTATAACATACACAGAGAGAGAGAGAGAGAAGTACCTCCAAGAGCTTGTTTTTTTTGTTATGTTCTCTTGACCTCGATTTGCCTTTGAGGTCCTGATCCAACGTCGCGCACCGGAGCGGAGTGTCCACTGCCGCACCTCTCCGTACCGAACCACCGGGCTTATGCGGATGCTTGGCATCATTGGGCGGCGACAGCGGCGCGTCCAACATGAGTGCGGGACCTGGTGCCAGGAAAGGCATGGCTACAAATATGTGCTTCACACGGAGCTGCCACTTCCAGATAGAGAGGCTCACTACAGCAAGATGTTGGTCATTCACCAGGTGCTCTGCTGGCTTGGCTTGTTCTGACTTGTTCCGACCTGTTCCTGTCATTTCTAGTCTTTCGACACGCTTGAGACCAGTTTTTAGCTGGAGGCATTTCTGTCTGAAAGTCCTGACTGGGTCTTCTTCATCGACTGCGACGCCTTTTTTACCGATGCGCAGACCAGTCTGGCCGACATTTTGGCCACCTATGGAGCAACGGAGTTGTCGGGGCCGCACTTTCTGGTGGCCGAAGACCCTGGCGGTATCAACACCGGGACCGCAGAGAAGTGCAAGCTGTGTTTTCGAAGTTTTCGAACATTCTAGAACCAAAGTGTGCGGGTTCATGTGACATCCATCTTCGAAGGACAAAAGCTTGCAAAGCTGTGACACAGAAGTGCCGCGCGACGGGTGTTTTTGTGGCAGGACCCTGCTGGTGCGACGCAGTGATTGGTCCTTGCAATTCTTGGAGCGTGTGGCCAATAGTCGCTTCTCCGTGGCGTGGGATCAATCCATGTTCTTCTGGGAGATCCTGAATCCCAGTTTGCTTCCCAAAGTGCCCGAGCGTGCGGCGGTGCAAACGGACTATGTTTGGCCTCCGGAGGTGGCATTGGTGCATCAGGCGGTGGCATTGGGGCACGGTGGCATCGTGGTTGGTGGCTTTTCGGGGCTGTGGGTTGAGAGTGAGTGCACCAAGAGATAGAACAGAAAACAACCCTCCGTCTAGCACGAATAGTGTCATATACGATATCAAACAAATCCTGTCACCATACGGTTTTGCTTGCGTGATGATTTAGTGCTTGTTTCTAGGCCCATCTCAATGCCTTCGTGCCTCCGGCGTCCAACGATTGGTCGGCACACGAGTGGAGAAAGGGCGACTTCATCAGGCATTTCGCTGGCTGTCCTTGGCAGGACTGCTTGGCAGAATGGTCGTAGCCGGCGCTCCCTCACCCTGGGGATAGAAGACCTTTGACGGATTGTTATGTTGCAGCATGTTTCGGAGCACCCCTGCATCAGGAGAGTCACTGCCTTGATCTCATGCGCGAGACTGCAGCCTTCGCACAGCAGCAGTGAGGAATGGCCAAGATCAAAAGTCTGGCAAGTATGGCACATCGGTGCAAAGAATCACCGCCAACTTGACCCAGCTTCGTCCTTCATAAAAGTTCGATCGTTTGATCTTTCATTGCTTGCGATGTGTACTCGTAGCAGGAAACCAGTACTATATATATATATATATGTTGTAATACTCCTGGAGCAAGACAATATAGCTGTTTATAGCCGTTGGAGACTTTGAACGGCATACTGCCTTGCTTCCTGACCATCTAGCCGTTCTGATTGCAATGGCAATGGCTGTGCATTTTGCAGCTCCTTCTGCTCTGACTTATTCACATCACCATCTGACTAGTGTAGAAACGGCTGAAAGTCCTACAGCCAGCGGTGGGAAGCACAGAACTGGGCTGTGATGATGTGCGTCCAAAGATTTGTTTGAGTGATGGTTTTTCTCATACCCAGAGACCCAGAGGTGCGATGGCACGGGTCTTGCTTGTCACTCTTTTCCTTCCAACGTGCCGTGCCCAGCGACCCCCAACCAGTAGTTAAGGCTGTTTTTTTGCTTGGTGCGTTGCTTTCAGTGTGGAGAGTCCATGGGCCATGGGGTTGAAATGGACTGAGGTTTGCATGGAGCACAGAGGGTCCACAAGCGTACCGACAGCAAGAGAGTCCAGTGTGCCTTGGCTGGAGTTGCATCATCTTAGCACTGGAGCCACACCGCGTCTCTCAGAACATTGACAGGGTCCCAAGTTATTTCCCACTGGATGTTTCCGCGGTTTCGATGTAACCCGGAAAATAGGAAGAGTTGTCCCTGTGACTGCAGGCCAAGATCAACTCCTTACATGAACGTGGCCCCGTTGAATCGCCACATTTTTGCGGGGAATGTCTTGCAGCTTGGACTTCAGTGGGAGCGACTGGCAGGTCACACAGCACCATGGGCCCACTGAGGCAGCCGATGGGAGGAGGCGTTGAGCACCTTGGCATCGGAAGGTCGCTTCCTTCGTTTGGGTTGGAATTCCTGAGCTCAGGAAGTGGATTGTGCTTTTCTGTCCGAAGTGGTTCCAACCATGCCAGAAGCTAGAGCCGCTCTTCGAAGACTTGGCCAAGACCTGGCAGACGAAGCCGTTCAGTTGCAAAGTTATGTTGGTGCCTTTGCCTTTCAGTGTCATGAACCGTCTGACTTTGTGCAGTGCTTTGTAGGCTGAATGTGGACTCTTCCTTTACACACCTTCGCTTCGCTCAGGCCGGGCATCTCGCAAATGCCAGATTTCATTTGGGTGTGTATTAAATTGGGAAGACCTCCCAAAGACTCCCCGGAAGGAGGGAAAGACCAAAACTCATTGATTGGGGGGCTCCCTGCAAGAATGCACACCCATTTGTATTGTAGTGTTCCATTGCAGGAAGGTACGTGAATACGTGGATTGGCTTTCTGGCAGGTCGACTGTGCGGCGGACAAGGTCCTGTGTAACGAGCAGCATGTGACCACCTATCCCTTCGCGCCGGCCTCATCTACGTCCTCATCCGAGTTGAATTTGCTGCCCGCGAACTGTTTGTGGCAGGTGGCCGTTTATCGCGGTGGCAGTCAGCTCTACAAGACAGGCAGGCTTGTGACATAGAGTTCCAACAATTGGAAAGAACGCTGAGTATACAATGCACCTTCCATGGGCTAGGCATCAACTGGAAGAAAAACATGCAGACACTCGGTTTGCAACGATGCCCTTCAGAGTTGCTGGCCACCAAGAAAGTTTGCGCCTCAGGGAGCAGATGGACAGACTCCTGGAGAGGGCTGGCGAGGTGTCACCAAGTCAAGCTGATGGAGAGAATGCTGCCGTGTTCCCGAAGTTCTTGGGCGAGTTGTGCATCTTGGAGAAGAACTTGGGTTGAGTTCGTTGAGCTTAGCTGTACCCCTACAATGCATTGACGCCAACTGGGCCCCCCCCGCGATATGCACGTCTTTTTTGAAGATGCCAAATCCACGGTGGTCAAACAGCAGGGTTCTTGTGCTTTTGGGAGGCACCTTTGACCCGTCACTTTGGATTTGCAGGTTGCCAGGGTCACAGGTGAGAAGAAGTTCACTTTGAGGAGGGGCCCCGCCAAAACCGAAGTGCGTCTCGTTTCAGCAGAGCAAACATCCAACCTCCTTCCGTCAATCTGACATCAGCTTTGGTCTCATGAGCTCGCAGCATTTGGGGCACGGATTGCTGGTGAAACCTGCGCACCTGCAACAGTTGCCTGGTTAGCAAACTTCTGCTCTTGAGTCAGGTCTTTAGCAAACTGAATTCAAGACGAGCAGGAGTCCATGCACGCAGAAGACGGCGTGACAGGATGTAGGCACCACAGGGCACAACACTAGATGGTGGTCGGATGGGTGCTGAAACGACGGCAGCTTCCCCAGTCCGGCCCTGACAGTGTTGAAAACGAAGTCAGATAGCCCAAGGATCGATTGCAAAGAAGTTCTTCACACGGGGGTGGTGTCTTTAGAGGTGGACATTTACAACCTCGAACGCAACAAGGGGTCAAGGCACAAGGAACAACGAAGTTAGGTAGTGAAGTAGTGAGCTGCATGTCAAAGATAGCCGCGGCAGGCTGCGGCAAACAATTAACGTGAAGGTATATGAAGTGTTTGCAAATTACAGTCCCACACCCCATACCACAGTGGCTCCGCACACAGTCCACAAACAAGAAGAACAGAAGAACCTACAAAACAGTGGTTTCTAGCCTGGGGCCCGAACATGAAGCCTCCTAAACCTATTTTTTTGGATTCTTCTTTGGTTTGGTGCCATCGATCAGCTGATCCTTGTCCCCAGCCCAGATGAACATCGAGCAGTTGACGTGATTTTGACTTTGGCAGCCCTCGTTGCGAGTCTTCGGTTGCCTGGCAAACAGCTCTATGGCCATTGTCGATGTGGCAAGCGCTGCGCAGGTTTACTTTGCATGTGCCAGTCTTTTTTTCACCATTGTTTTGAGCTATGTATATATATATATATTGCATGAAACTGCTTTGGGTTTTGGCCCACCGGGTCACCGCGGCTCGCGGGCTGCGGCGGTCGAGGTTCATGAAAGGTAGCTTCAGCAACCCTCCTGGACTTTCACACGATTCAAAAGCTGATCCCAGGTCAGCTTGTGGTTGCTTCTTGCATTAGTGGTCATGAGTGAATATTGAACATGGGCGAGGTGCAGCGTATCGACTAGTTCAGGAATGAAGCCTCATTGTCACGTTCCATGCAAAGCTTACCTAGCACTCCCATCCAACTGACCACCACCTGCACAAAGCAAAAGAGTCTTTTTTTTCCCACTCGTCCTCCCCGCAGCCGCAGGGAGCCGATGCCTTTTGTTGTCACACATGCTTCTGCGCCGGCGAACGTGATGGAATTATGATGCCTCTGGTTTCACTGCTGATGCGCACCTCACAGCCGGTTCAGCGCCTGCGCGAAGCTTTTCACAGCCGGTTTCGCGCCTGCGAAGCGGAAAAGGCGGAGTTGGCGCTTGAGGCGGTTCGGCATCACTGGCGCGTGAAGTCTCGATTGTTTTACTTTTTAGAGCGCAGTCGAAGAAGCTAAGCTGTTTAGGTCAAGAACATGGAGGCGCAATTGAAGGACGCTGACTCCAAGCACCATGAATGCTGCAAGGCGGGGAGTTCTGACGCACACGACGCAGCAAAAAAAAGGCCGATGGGGGGTACCCATGCGAAAGCCCTTGGTAAAATGTGATTACGTATGTTTGCATACAATCCACTCCACTCCAACTTTCAGGTGATTGCAGAGCACAAGACTCTTGAAGCTGAGCTCTTGAAGGTGCGTGGAGCCCTCAGGATGGATGGTGATCAGTCGCTGGAGGGGAATTCTGGTGGTTTGTCAGGTTGAAGAGGGAATTTTGACACGTTCCTGCAGAACATGTGGACTTTGATTCAGCTTGCGCCAGTTTGGGTTCCATCAAACTGTTTGAAACTAGCCTGGTTGCACCGTTTGCAGCCTACTCTGGGCTCGAACAGTGGCGCCACAGACTTTTTTTGCACTGGGCGCTGCCTAAGGCTCAGAGTGGACATTGCAGGTTTGTCTGAGAACACGGTCGAGAACAGTCAAGCCCTATATAATGATATAATGCTGAATGTCTTGGACACATCTACCAATCTCCAATACATCGCTTGCTTACCAGGTCTGCGACAACCGCAAGGGGTTGTCTATTGTTTCAGCATGGCGCAGATGTGGGAGGCATCCAGTCGTACAGTTGCGGAGTTGGTGGCCGAAAACATAGTAGTTAACTGACCTCCTTGGACCATGTTGCACACGATCGACCCACGGCCGGCGCAGAAGAGTTGTGCTTTCATCCAAGCCGGTTGTACGAATCCTCAGGTGGTTGGTGGTGCTGACAAAGGTGGCATCATCGTGCGAGAAGATTTGGATTTGAATTCGCCAGCTCTAAGTGAAAGACTGGCGACGGGTGCACAGGTGAAGGACCTAAAGGGTCCCTTTGGGATGTTTGGTGTTTTCGTGCATGCGGATAGCATCTTTATAGCCTCGACTTTTGTAGTGACATGAGCTTGCAAACCCACCGAGATAGCAAAAGGTCTCACAAACGGAGCCACTCGCTGGGGTTGGCTGTGACAATTGTTGCCTCCTTCAGGAGCTAGATTGGCAGGAAGGGCGCTTGCAGTATGAGCTCGTGTCTGGCAACGGTCCGAAGAACGGCTGGGTCACTGTGAACTTGAAGGGCAAGGACCCACCGACTCCGCGGAGTTCATGTGCTTTGCAATCTTCTTGCCTCAATGCATGCGATATCTAGCACACCATAAGAGGGTAAGACTAGCTAAGCCCCACCTGGGAAGAACGGTTCCAGACTTGGCTCAACTTGTTCGCCCCTTCGCCCGGTGAGGAGCTCTTGGTGCAGGTGTCTGGTCAGAAGGACCAGCTCACGGGTGGTTAGAGATTCTGCTGCATGCCCATGATTCTTAGTTCATGATCCAATGAGTTCGAAATAGTTCCAATGTATGCGCCAGTTGTTCATTTCCCAGACCTCTGACTTGTTTTGCTATGTTTGCTACTATGTCTTACTGCCCTATGGTTTTTGGAACGTGCCTTCTTGTCGTTGGCCCTCTGCCACCAGGAGGGTCTGTGTGACTCGACCAGCGAGGGTGAACCATCCAGTGGCAGCGATGCTGAAGCGGTCGTCGCGCCTCAGTGAGAAGGGTGGAAAGGGTCGTCGACTTCCAAAATGCTGATATTGATATAAGCAACTGGCAGAGTTGGTACATTCGATACATTCGCAACAGAGAGAGAGAGAGAGAGAGAGAGAGCGAGAGAGAGAGAGAGAGGGGAGAGAGTGATTGATTGTTTACAAATGTTGAAGCTCCGATGCTCCTGAACATCTACAGTTTGCTGCCTCTGAGGCAGAGAAGGAGCTGTCGAAAGAGGAGGAGGAGGCGTTTGAACAGTATGTGGGCAAGTTTGGCGAGAACAGGGCCGGTGAAGCTCCAGGATACAATCGCCAAGCCTTTCCATGGACAGCTGGCCAGCCATTGAAGAAAGCCACACCCAAAGAAGCGATAGAAGCTGTCCTGGAAGCGAATCGGCCCAAGAAGACATATCAGCCACCTCTCACAGAAGTGGACTCTGAAGGTGAAGAAGTTCCCTTATGCACCAGGTGCTCAATGCCGGTGGGCCAGTTCGCCTATGAAGGTCGACAGGGCATCCGCAGCTGCGTGCATGCCGAGTGCATGGCGCAGGTGTTGGTGGAAGATGCGCAAAGACATGAAGACAGGCGAACTACATGGGAAGTGGAGAAGAAACTCAAGAGCCGCAACGAGTACGAGATTGGTTGGCGTCCTGACAGCGTTCCCCAAAATGCCCATTTGGCAGAACGAATGGGGTGCAACACCCCGGCTCCCGGCCTGTGTTGCCTTGTTCTGGATGAGGCTTCCAGAACCGTCAAAGTGGCCCCAACCTTGGAACCAGCTGCTGCGGTGAACTTGGAGTATTTGCTCCTAGCACTGAAAGTGCGGAAGACGGCCAAACGAGAACCACTTTTCTCGCTCGACCCTGTGGATCACCAGAATCTGGAGAAGACCCCGCAGAAGAAGGTCTATGAACCCAGTTGGCTGGCAGGCACCAGCGTGGGTGATGTCATGTTCCAGGCTGACTACTTCCTCAAGGAGTTGGCGCTTGGCGAATACACCATGCCGGTGGCTTGCCTGACTGAAAGTGCGCTTTATATATGTCATCGTCTAGTCCTGTGTAGATTTGCAGGTGCAAATGTCCCAGGTTTTCCTTGTCTATACACTATGAACTATCAGTCCGCGATTTGTACTGTCCCAGCTGAGTCCCAGTCATTAATGGAGCATTTTTCAAAACGTGCCTTGCTCGCGTGACAACTGCTCCAAATTCGCTGCTTTCAGGTTGCTGGCATGATGAGCGTTTTCGACTGGTCGGAGCTTTCAGCCGCGGAGCGTGATCGTGACTGGTCCGGGCGAGAGTGGTTTGTGGTTCGCAAGGCGGAGGTGCGCATGGCGATGGATCAAACCCTGATTCCTGTTGTCAAGATGGGTGTCGAAGCCAGGGAGCAGGTGCTTACCAAAGGCGGCTTGGAAGATGCTGCAGTCACTGCTGCCACACACCCCTTGAAGAAATTTGCAGATGCGTTCTCACGCAACTTTGACCTCATTGCTGAGCGAAGGAGTGTGGTATTCCACTTGCGTGAGCTGGCAAAAGCTTCAGTCATGGCCAAGCACTTGGTGGATTCCAACATTCGTGTGAACAGTACTTGGTACCAACTGGCTGATGAGATTGTCAAAGGTACTGCCCCGGAAGCGCACCCTCAGATTCCTCAGCTGTGGAACATGCGGGGGAATTCGCGCATCCAGCTGAAGAATGGCAGGCTGATTGATATGCTGACAGGTGGCCAGAGAAAGTTGCATGCAATCTACGGCGGGGTTGAGTTTGGTTTGGATCGCTTCGAGTTGGCACAGCGCCATGCGATGCAGGGTCAAGCAGGGATGCAGCTTGGTCAGTCAGGGCGTCCCATGTTTATGCCCCAAAGAATTCAAATCGGCCAGCAGGCGCAGGTGCCCTCGATGCCACAGGGTGTGGATTTGAACTTGGACAAGTTCAACCTGTCCAACATTGAGCGCTTTGCGAGCCATCTGCCGGCCTGCAGCGGCACAAGCGATTCCCTTGCAACCAAGGTTACCCTGGGCAAAGCCTTTTTGAAAAGCTTGAGGGAACGCAAGTACCCTGGACTCAAGCAAGAGTATGAGGAGGTCCTTCTGAAGGTCTTCGAGTCCCCGGAATGCGACCGGAGCCAGGAGGGTGATGCATTCATTCCACCCGATCCTAGCATGGAATATACCGGACGGATTCGCAGCCTCGTGAACGAGGAGAAGCTGCTGTTGGAACGCCGGCAGATGCACTTCTTCGACAAGGCCTTCCAAGTGGGGAATGCCGGGCCAGACTTCCCTCGATCATGGACTTCTCGAATCCAAGTGGAGAAGGATGGTGCAAAGACAGATGTCTCCCAGCGAAAGATGCTCACAAAGGTGGACTTCGACCCCGCCTTTGCCAGTGTCTTGGCCAACGACATCTTACCCACTGCTGCGCCAGAGTTTAAGAAGGACACGGAGGATGGCTTCCTGGTTTTGCACCCACTCTGGGCACAGTAGAGTAGTTGTGTCACTTTACATTTATGTGCTTTCTTTTTCGATGGACACATTGGACGATTCTGGCTGCATGGACCCATTCAGCCTGAAAAACTCAGGTTCGACCTTCCGGATCTACCAAATTGGAAGCCTTGAGGTTCGCACTACGCAGATGAAGTTTGGCCAGGAGAAGGTGGGTGCGATGTTCTCCAGCGGTGCCTCGGGTCGCAGACTTGGGCCGAAAAAGGGGTGAGGAAGCAGCGGAAGGGTGCTTTTGTATGCTTTTTGTATTTTTGAATTCTCAGAGGATCTGCATGTCAGGGTGTTTGAGCGCTTTACTTCGCTCTGTCGAAGGCTGGCAGCATTTGCCTGTTGTTTCAGCGCCCAAGGAGCACCAGCATGGGAGCTGAAGTCCAAGGCGACAGTTCTCGCAGAGGATGAGAAGCTCCAAGAGTGCAAGGCTGGGTTCAGAACACGATAGTGAAGTTCCCACAACCAATCTAGAACCTTTATAGATGGGCAAACACAAGGCTGACAAGTTGGATTTGTTCTCCGCTTTTCGTTTGTCTTGTGGGTTGGGGTGTGGTTCGGGGCCACCTGGCGCTCGGCCTGGCGCGAAGACTGCCCCGTGGAGCCTTGGAGTTCAGTGCACCGATGGCAGGTGTTCATCGAGGCGACAGATGGCCCAGCGCAGGGGCACCAGCCTCACCACTTCTACTTGGTCTTCAAGCCTCATGGCTGTGAAGGAGGTTGACACTGTGAACAATGTATCAAGACATATCAAACTCTTTAAGACTTATTGACTCATGTACTTTCGCCTTTGGCGTGTCTAAATTATATCCTCACCTTGCTCACACCATGTCTCTAGCGTGTTTCGTGTATGGCTGGCAGTGCTTTCATGCACCTTCCGAGGACCGTGCAGCAGAACGTGATCGTGATCGAGCAGCTTGCCAATGGTTCCAGGTCTTGGGCGGTGAATCCGACGAACCTTGAAGATCGCAATTCCTTGGCCAAGCAGCTCTTCACAGCAGTTTGCACAGAGGGAGCCACAGTGCATGCTTTGAAGATGGTTCTCCCAACGCCCACGGCAGCCGGCTCAGCTGTGTCTCTCTCAGTCCGCAAACAGTATGCAAAGTTGGCTTTCAAACAGATGACGGGACAGACCTTCACA